TCACTTTTGGAGTAAGAGTTAGCCCAATCTGTCTTACTTTTTTTTCCTTTTTGTTTGCAGCAGATCTTGATACAATATCATTTCCTGTGTTCATGTGGTTATTGAAGTATTAACTATAAAATATTTACCTTTTTCTCTTTTGAAGTTATTTTTCCTTAAATATTGATATTGCAAGTTTCTATCCTTCTGTGTTTAGCTTAAGGAGAAAATAGTTTTTGAGTATTTCATTCACCCATTGAACAAACATTAATTGAATACATGCCATCCTCAACTCTGGGCACATCCAGCAGTTGGTCCTGTCCTCATGGAGTTTACGTTCTGCTGGAGCAGATGGACAAGTAAAGTTCCAGTAAAGGGGGTTGTGGTATCAGTAAGCACAGGATGTTTCAGGAACCCAGGGGAGATCCCTAATCCAGTGTTGGGGGGATTGGGAAGACTTCCTGGAGGACGTGATATCCACACTGAGTCTTGAAAGACAGTAGGAGTTGGCCACATCAGGGTTAATCACAGGGGGCCAGAGGTGAACGAGGACATCATCTGCTCTGGAAAATACAAGAACTTCAGTGTGAGAGCAGCGTAGCCCCTGAGAAAGGTGCGGGAAGAAGGATAAGAGTGGACATTGGAGGGTAAGTAGATAGGACATTTCAGTGGCCTTTGTCACAAAGTCATTGAGGCTCTCAGAAAAAAAATTTAAGCAGGGAAGTAACTTGGTCAGATTTTAATTTTAGCAAGTTTATTCTAGTTGGCTTTAAACATAAATAAGTAGATCAATATATCTATTTGAGATATAATCACATACAGTAAAATGGCCAGATCTTAGTCAATGGCCAGTTTGGTTGATGAGTTTTGATCATTGTATACACTCATTTCACCACCACCCCAAACCAGATATAGAACATCTCCATTACCAGGGCTCCTAGGTGGCTCAGTCGGTTGGGTCCGACTCTTGATTTTGACCTGGGTCATGATGTTGGGGTCATGGGATCAAATCCTTGCATCGGGCGTCCTGCTCAGCACAGAGTTGGCTTGAGATCCTTTCCCCCTTCCTCTGCCCCTCCCCCTGCTTGCACAGTCTTCCTTTAAAATAAATAAAATTTAAAAATCTTTAAAAAAAAGGACATCTCCATTACCCCAGAAAATTCCCTCATGTCCCTTTCCATTCAATCATCCAATGCCCACCTCCCAAAGTCCACCTTCTGACTTCTATCTCCAGTTATGTCTTTCTTAGATCTCATGGTGTCTCACACCGGGTGCTCTGTTTTGTCTGGCTTCTTTTAGTCAGCATAGTTTGAAACTCATCCACATCATTGAATTTATAAGTAGTAGCTCCTTTTTATGGTTGAGGAGTATTCCATTTTATGGAATAATCATAGTTGTTCATCCATTTTCTGTTGGTGGACATTTGGGTTGTTTTTAGTTTTTGACTTTGATGAATAAAGATGCTATACACATTCTTATACAAGTCTTTTTTTTTTTTTTTTTTGTAGATGTCTATTTTCATTTCTCTTGGGTAAATAATAGTGGGATTGCTAGGGCTGGCTGGTTTTTTTTTTTTTTTTTTTAAGGATTTTATGTATGTATGTATGTATTTAGAGAGCACGAGCAGAGGGAGGGTAGAGGGAGAGAGACAATCTCGAGCAGACTCTGTGCTAAGTGCGGAGCCCGTCGTGGGGCTTGATCCCACGACCCTGAGATCATGACCTGAGCCAGAAATCAAGAGTCTGAGGCTCAACCGACTGAGACACCCAGGCGCCCCTAGGGCTGGATGTTTTTTAAAGAACAGATTGAAGTCAAAAGGCTGGGAACAAGGAGCCCATGGCATACAATCCAGCTCAGAGATGGTGTTCAGAAATAAGGTAATTTCATACTGGAGGTGGATAGCAATGAAAAAATATCCCTGTAATGCAAAAGTTGAATTGACAAGACTAGGTGATGGACAGGTTTGAAACGAGAAGAAAAGGATCACTGTATATGAGAATGAATGGTGGTGATTTTCCCTGAGCCAGGGAATGCAGGAGGTCCAGGTTTTGGGGGGGGGGCGGGATGATAACAGCTGTAGTTTGGGACAGTTGAGTTTGAGATACTTGCAGGCAGGAGAGATGGCCAGGAGGCAATTGGCCCCATAGATCTGGAGGCCAGAAAAGAGATCTGGTTTGTAGGTATGGAGTAGGCAGTGGTCACCATGGAGAAGGTAACAGAGGCCATGGGAGGGGAGAAGATCACCAAGGAGGGGAGGAAGACCCACGGACTGGGAGAAGATATTTATGGCACATCATCATCGAAGTAGTATTTGATTTCAAAGTATACTGAAGAACTACTAAATATCAGTATGATGAGTGTAGAGACAGGTACAAACTCTATAGAATCTATACACAATTTGTTTTATGCAATAATAATGATGAACATGCTCTAGAGGGGGGTAGTAATTCTACTCCTGAGCATGTATCCAAGTAGATTTGTCACACATTTGCGCTAGAATATATGCACACAGAGGATTAGAGTAGCATTGCCCATGAATATGAAGACAGCCCAAGTGTTCATCAGCTGAAGAATGAATCAATGAATAAATTGTGGTATAGTCATTCAGCAGAATACTATATAGCAGTGAAAATAAATGTGTTTGAACAGCACATACCAACATGGATGAATCTCTCAAACATAATGTGAAGAAAAAAAGCAAGTTGCAGAAAAGTATGTATGACATGGTGCTCTTTTAAAACATTTTAAACTGAGCAAAATTGTACTGTATATATTGCCTAAGGACCCATACCCAAACATAGTAGAAATAGGGGAAAATGCCAAAATAGAGTTGTGGTTTCCGGGAGTACAGGGGAGGGGTGGCTACCTGGGGGTCTTGCATCTGGTTGATAATGCTTTGTTTTCTTGAGCAGGTGCTGAGTTCATAAGTGTCCATTGTGTGTCTGTGCATTTTTGCATTGCTGAAAGATTTATTTATTTACTGATTTATTTTTAAAGATTTTATTTATTTATTTGACAGAGAGAGACACAGCGAGAGAGGGAACACAAGCATGGGGAGTGGGAGAGGGAGAAGCAGGCTTCCCACTGAGCAGGGAGTCCAATGAGGGGCTCGATCCCAGGACCCTGGGATCATGACCTGAGCCGAAGGCAGACGCTCAACGACTGAGCCACTCAGGCGCCTCTTGCTGAATGATTTAAAAAGGGATGGAACAGAGCCTTGGGGATGCTAACATGTAAGGCAGTGAATTTAAAGTCTTTTGATTCTGACCCACAGAAAGAAATATTTTATATTCCACACGTATACATGTATAAAAATACAAACAAGACATGGAAACAAAAGTTTTATGAAAGATCTTTATCTTAGAAGATATACCCTGGTAGTTTCTATTTTATTTCATTTCATTTAAAAAAAATATATTGGTTGTGATCTTATAAGTCAGTGGTTCTCAACCGGGAGTGATGCCAATTGGATGATGTCTGGAGACATTTTTGATTGTCACGAATGGCATCTAGTGAGTAGATGCCAGGGATCCTGCTGAACAGTCTGGATAGCACAGGATGACCCCCCACAACAAAGAATTATGCAGCCCCAAATGTCAGTAATGCCAAGGTTGAGAAACCCTGCTCTAAGTTGATTTCTTGATGTAAGCTGAATACGTACAGTTTGAAAGCAGGGATGTATGGGCAGGGGGGAAGATTGGCTAGGCAGATACAAGGAAAACCAGGAGTGTCTGTGGTCATAGGAAGCTGAGGGATGATATTCCAGAGGAGCAAGTGAAGCATGGTCAAATATGTTTGTGGAGTTTGGCAGCTAAGACCTTGCTGGTGGTGCCTGTGGCTAGGGGAATTTCTCTGGGGGTGGGGGGAAGGAGCCCAAAGTTAGTAGAGTGGGGAGTGAAGATGGCATAGATCTTGCTTGTCTGTGAAGAAAAGAATAACAGAGCAGGAGGTTTGAAGCAGGATTTTTTTTTTTTCCCAAGATGGTAGAGCATTGGCATGTTAAAATGATGATGGGAGGAGCTGGTAGAGAGGAAAGTGTGAGGGTGTAGGAGAGAATTAATGAATGGAGCTGGTGCCTGGGAAGTCAGGAGAGTCCTGAGCAGGGGTGCGTGTTGGTTTGAGGTAGGAGATAGGAGGAAGAATACAGATGCAGGTGAGTTTGGGGGTGAGCAGGAAGTTGAAAGTATTCTTGCTTCTTTCTCTGTGAAGTATCAGGTGAGGCCATTTTCTGGGGGTGCAGTGGGGAGAGATGGAGGTGATGGTCTCTGAAGCTCAGGTAAAATGGAGGAGGAGGTTTGAAATAGCCTTTGAGGAGACTCTGGGGATTGCTGCGGGGCTCTGAGGGCCTCTTGAGGATGGAGACCATGAATCTGTTAAGACAGCTTTGGTGGATGTGTGTTTTTCTCCATAGTGCTGAGCATCCTGGAGAGAGAAACAGGGAAGGAGATGCGTAGAGGGATCTGGGGCTGGGATTTGGCCGGGTGGGTGTACACGAGAGTGCAGGGGAGTTGTGCTCATTGGCCAGGCGGGCGATGGATGTAGGAGGGAGGAGAAAGGAGGTGAAGACAGAAGCTGGTCAGAGAAGTAGAAAATAAAAGGATTGGCAAAATGGAGCCAAAAGGGAGCTGGGATAGTGGGTGTAGGGCGAGAAGCTGTGAGAGAGGGCTGAGGGGGAAGGAGTTGATAGAGGATGAAAGGACAGTGGGGTGAGATGTCTGGGGGAACTGTCAGATGTGCAGCAGTTCTGAGTGGTGATGGGAAAGTCCAGGGTGGATCTTTGAGAGGAAGGCAGTAACGCAGAGAGGGAGGTGACAGAATGAGGACAAGGCACTGACCAAGCAAGTGTGCTCGGTGAATTCAAAGGCCATTCAGAATGACAGTTGCACTTGGTGTCTCAAGGAAGACTGAGCCATTCCATAAGGTCTTCAGGGAATTCTCTAATGATGCGTAGCTGTAGATGGAAGTTGTGCCTGGGAGTGGAGGACGGTTATTTTGGCTTTGGGGAATAAGAAGAGGCTGCAGTGGGTTTCCACCAAATGTTCCAGCGTCAGCCAAGAGAGGAAGAGAGGTTGGGGTGAGAGGTGGCTTTAAGGGGTGTGGTCAAAAGGTGGCGTGGGAGGATGGGGCTGTGGGTGTCAAATCATAGGAAAGGATGCCTGGGGTCGTGGGGGACTAAGCGTGGGGTGAGGCTGAGAGGCATGATCGGAGGGAGTGCTCCCCTGGTGGTTGGGAGGATCCAGTCTTCTTTCTGGAAGCAATTTGGGAAGGGTGCAGCTGGACCCGAAGTGATACTGTCCGGATTTCTGACTTGGAGTGAGCCGGCCGTGCCTTCTATTTTGTGAGTGATGACAGCCTCTAAAGAGGATGGGCAATCCCTTTAGCCAGGCCGTGGCACAAAAAGGCTTTTTATGGCATCTGAATGTTATGTGGTCCTTCGACTTTCTAGAGGCCTGTCTACTGGAGGAGTGAATGTTCTCGATTGCTTTTTTTTTCCCCCTGGGTTCTAGAAAACAGAAGGATAAGAGACCCTGTGGGGTCCAGTTCCATTCAGTGTCTTCATGAAGTGGTGTGATAAGCCGTGTCTGGTTCTTTCAAGACAGCAGTGAATAATCCTTTCCTGTTCGAGAGCGTGGAATTCCACTGGGGAGTTTAAACACATTTCCCTTTAATGGCTTAAATGAAGTGTTGCCTTTTTTCATGAAAGTTTTATATATTTGACCTATTTAATTTTTTTTTTCCTTCAGGAAATAAAAGATGACATTTTCTCACTTCCCTTCCAGAAAAAGAGATGCATTGGATTTTTTGGCAAAGTAATCTCTATGTACACTGTGGTAATGAATGGTGTTGGGAAATGTGAAAAATGTAGCCTACCTCCTCCTTTTTTTTTTTTTTTTAAACTATCAAATTGAATGAAAAGAAACGAATATTTTAATGGAACTGGATAGGATGAATGGCTTTTCTTTCAAGCGCTTTAGTATCAAAACGAAAAATGATGTTTTGATTGTCTTTTTTTCTGCTTTATTTCTAAGAATATGGACATTTTCCCTTGGAAGTAATACCGGCATTTATAGCAGTGTTTAATTAACACCAGCCTCCACGAGGTATCAAAGAATGCTGGTGGAAAAGATGGAGTAGGAAATAAATATACAGGAAAGGTTGGTTCAAATAAATGCTAACCCCCTAAGTGTTTTGGTGGTATGACAACAAAATGGGAGAAGAAAGCTGAGGGATTCTTTGGAGCCACTCTGGCACGGACGTCGAAAGGCCAGCCTGAGATGTGAGAACGCAGGGAGGTTACATAAGGAAATGACAGTTTGGGGAGTTGAGAAGGGGTGAATGGAAGGGGAGGAAATGAGGCGGGGCCCACCCTCTGAAGGCAGGGGAACGGGAAAAGCTTTTTCTCACTGGAATTGTGACTTTACAAGAGAAAGTGAAAACACATCAGATCCCGATTGTAGAATTCTGTTATCACTTCAGTCATTCTGTTTCCAGAACCCCCGGTTTAAAGGCAACCTCTTCCTTTTACCTATCTAAGTATGAGAACAGACTCTTTTATCAGAGTAGATTCCCCCCCCTCTTTCTTTTAGTTCCCAAAAAGCAGTATTTCCCAAGATGTGTTGCACCAAATGGTGTCTCAACAGGCCAGTCAAAGGAAATAAGGCACTTGGTGTTCAAGTAAGTTTGAGAAGTACTGTGGTTTAAAAAAGGGAGACAGGTTTCTTTACAGTGTCTCAGAGCCCTTAAAATCAAATAGGCATTCTTGGATTTCTACGGTAAGTAGGAAGGACCTTTTAAATTGCTAAACAAACACTCGGTCCCTTGTTTCTTTTTGGAATTCTGATATTCCTCCAGGTGGCAATGTCCCTAGTTGAAAGTTCTCACCTCCCCAGGCTGCTTTGCTACTAGATGTGACCCAGTGCTGGCCAGTAAGTTGAGAAGTCCAAGTCTCTGTGGAGTGGGGGCTTCTGGGAAAGGTACTGGTTTCTTGATAAACAGGGTCTAAGGAGGTTGGCACACATCTTTGCGAGTGCCCACCTTTTTCCTGCCTGCAGGAGCTGTAGCCAACTTGCACCACGAAAACAAAAGCCACATACTAGGATTTGCAGATCAGAAAGATTGAAGGAGTTCTTGATGGCCTCAGGAAGCTACTCTACCAGCCTTGAACTCTTCACCTTTGGACTTTGTTCTCGTAGATACATAAAGCCCGATTTGCTGAAACCCTTATAGTTGAGTTTCTGTTCCATGCAGCTGAGTGTAATCCTAATTCATCCGGGGGGAATGCGGTCAGCAGTAATGGAACTGATTTTAACGATGGAAACTTGTTTTGTTTTGGAGACTCTGTAGAAGACCCTTTGGGAAATGATGCTGTAAAAAAATATGGCTAGAAAGATCGTCATGTGTATTTAGCCCCTTTTCTGCAAGTATACATTTTCTGGTGTTCTTTGTGGAATTAGAGTTTTGAATTTTGGTCTTTTTCTTCTATTCTTTTCCTCTCATCTGAGAAGTCTTTGATTCTTTAAAAAAAAACTTTATAATTTTTATGCCCCTTACCAAAGCACTTTATATGTCAGATTTTTAAATGGTTTTAGATGGTTTTATTAGCCTATTCTCAGGCCTTCTTTACACAGTGGAATTGTTCTCAGAATTCGTAGGTGAGTTGACTCAGAGATACATTTATTTCTATCACAATATCAAAGATGTTTGGTTTCTTTTGAATAATTTTATTTTTGACTGTGGCACTTACCACCTTTCTCAAAATTAATGTGGTGTAAACCAACACCTAAATGTCCTAGGGAAGCTCTTTGTGCAAATGATTTTTGTAAATTTGGAAATCTTTGTACACCCCATGATTATCTGTCTCTTCTTCTGTAAATTGGATTTTCCTAGTATTTTTTTTTCTTTTTTAATAGTGTTAGGCTCAGTTCTCTGATTAAAGAAGTTTCAAATCTTGGTTTTTTAAAAGGACGTTTAAATTATATTTCAAATCTCCAGTAGAATATAAAATCAGCATGTTAAAGTTTAAGGGGACCTCAGCACCTGAGTCTGACTTCCTCATTCTGCAGTGGAAGGGACTGAGAACTTGCCTAATGCCTGGGTGTTGAGCAAACAACAGCACAGTGGGGTTCAGTGGGGCTCTGTGCCATGAACCCAGCTCACAACGGTGGTGACCTGACAATCACAACATAGGAAGTTACACAGATCATTTCGCTGAGCTGGCCTTTTCTGTTTTGTTGATGGTTTCCTTTGCTGTGCAGAAGCTTTTTAGGTTGAAGTGTTGAGAGTTGTTTATTTTTGCTTTTGTTGCTTTTGCTTTTGGTGTCATGTCCAAAAGCTCATCACTAAGACCAATGTCAAGGAGTTTATTGCCTGTGTTTTCTTCTAGGGGTTTTATGGTTTCAGGTCTCACATTCAGGTCTTTAATCCATTTTGAGTTAATTTTTATGTATGGTGTAATATAGTAGTCTAGTTTCATTCATTTGCATGTGGCTGTCCAGTTTTCCCAGTACCATTTATTGAAGAGACTGTACTTTCCCTACTGTATGTTCTTGGCTCCTTTGTCATAAATTATTTGACTATATGCTTGGATTTATTTCTCGACTCTCTATTCTGTTCCATTGATCTGTATGTCTGTTTTTATGCCAGTACCACATTGTTTTGATAATTATAGCTTTGTGATATACTTTGAAATCAGGGAGCGTGTTGTCTCCAGGTTTTTTGTTCTTTCTCAGGATTGCTTTGGCAATTCAGAGTCTCTTGGGGCTCCATACAGATTTTAGAATTGTTTGTTCTATTTCTGTGAAAAATGCCATTGGAATTTTGATAGGGATTGCATTGAATCTGTAGATTGCTTTGGGTGTTGTCTTCATATTCTTTCATCAATGTCTTACAGTTTTCAATGTACAGGTCTTTCACCTCTTTGGTTAAATTTATTCCTAGGTATTTTATTCTTTTTGATATAATTATAAATGGGATTTTTTCTTAATTTCTCTTTCTGATAGTTCATTGTTAGTCTATAGAATTGCAACAGGGCACCTGGGTGGCTCAGTCATTAAGCATCTGCCTTTGGCTCAGGTCATGATCCCAGGGTCCTGGGATCGAGCCCCACATCGGGCTTCCTGCTCTGCGGGAAGCCTGCTTCTCCCTCTCCCACTCCCTCTGCTTGTGTTCCCTCTCTCGCTGTCTCTCTCTCTCTCTCTCAAATAAATCAATAAATCAATAAATCAATAAATCTTAAAAAAAAGAATTGCAACAGATCTTTTTTTTTTTTTTTAAGGTTTTATTTATTTATTTGACGCAGAGAGAGAGGGGGCACAAGCAGGGGGAGAGGCAGTGGGAGAGGGAGAAGCAGACTTCACGCTGAGCAGGGAACCCGACGAGGGGCTCGATCCCAGGACCCT